TATCACACTGAAAAACTTAAAGAAAAACGAGAAGTTAAATTTACTTATAGTAATAATAATATTAATAATGTTTATTCGTCCTGTTAAGCATTATAAAAAATTATAAGATAAGTCTGGTTTACTTAGTCTAAAATTTACAATTAAAAATTACTTTAAATAATAGGGATAAGGTTAGCTAAAATTACAAAATAATAAAAAAAAACAAACAATAGCAAGACATAAATATTTAAGTAGTTTTTTCTTACATATATTTAGCAACAGTGTTGTAACATCTACTTTTTAATTGCATTTTTAAATTGAAAATTTTTCAAGAGTTGAAGTTAATTTAAAAATATACGTTTACACTAATCACGATTATTATTGTTATTAATATTATTATTTTATATCTATAAAATTACCTAATATCACAAAATTACACATTATCACAAAAAGTACACATTAAAAATAAATTGAGTTTACTACATGAAATTTTTTTTATTATTCTTAAGCTCTATTGGGTGTTCCAGTGCCAGAGTTGCTAAAAAATAATTAATTAAGTTGAGATCAAAGTTTAAGAAAAATTTAAAAATAGTCACTTGTCAAATAAGTATTTAATTTTGTCATGAACTACATAATTTTAAGGAATTGGTAACTTTGGCATGTATAGAAATGATTTTAAAACAATAACAAAGACCAGTTGTTTTGAAATTTTGTTGGTTAGGTAACTCTGGCACTAAACCACTTTACTATCCCTTCACCCATCTATTTCGGTTCATTGTAGTTGCAATATCCATTCCAAAAATCTCCATACTCAGGAAAAACTAAAACAAAAAAAAAATAAAGGCGCAGTGTGTATCTTAAAATTAAACTAAAATTTTTAAATAAATTTGTTTCTGATAATTTTAAAGCAGTCTTAATTTTATTTTTAGATTTTAATAAACTATTTTTTAATCTTGAAATTTTGTTTCGCTGCTCTCGATTAATATAATAAAATTTTCTCTTTCTAGGAGTTAAATTACCAATTCTAGTTGCATTAATTTGATTTAAAATACCAGTTCTTACACGTGGTTTCTTTATTAAAGGTTCCTCAACACATTCAATTCTATCATTAAAAAAATCTAGCTTTCTTTTTGCTGAAGTTATATTCGAAACAGAAGGTTTAATCAAAACATTACTAATTACATTTATTTTTGCAAGCGCATTTGATGAAGGCAGCTCTGAAAAATTTTCATCTAATGTAATATTATTATTAGTAGTAATATTCTCTTCTAAAGGCGCTAAAGGCAAGGCAAATTTAATGAGCTTAGTAGGCAAAGTGCTGGTAAAGGCATTCTCGTCAAAATGATCCTCGCACTATAGTTTTTTTTAGATGTGTAGGGAATATTAAAAATATCAAACCATTTCTCTCTAAGGGTAATAATGGACGGAAAAGTAAAAAATTTCTTATTAAGTGAATGTAAATAATATTTGCTTCTACAATTTGGAGCAGCACATGATAATGTGAATTTATTATAAGTTAATGACATCGTTAAGGACCTCAGTATATTTTTACACCTATAAATTACTTAAATCTAACTAAAACTAAATTAAAAATAAGATTAATTAAATTTTACTCACCTACATTTTCCACGACTGTCATGTTTTAGTGTAACATAACCTAATTTATTAGCAAAGCCAGATTAACACCACCTCATAATATTCAAATGTATCTTTAACTTTATAAATTTATAACAATTATCCCTGTATTGGATCATTATATTGTATTAAAGTGATATTTAAAAGATTGCATTAGTAAAATTATTGATTTCTTTAAAATTTATTCATTTTCTAATTATTATATGGGTGTAAAAACGGCTTTTATTTAGTGCTCGCAGCGCGTGAAGCTCGATATGATAAACTACAAACAAGGAAACAATTCCCGCCTATTATTCAAACCTTCTCTTTTTAGTTTTTCTATGATGCAACTAATACGTGTTTTAAAGAATCAGCGATCACTAGATTTCGCGCGTAGCACTGTTTTTAGTCTTTGGTTGTCAGATGGAGCTGCTAGGTTCGCTAGAAATCGGAGGATCATTTGAACCCGCAGGAATCATTTTGCCCCACTCTCCTCTAATTAAACAACAAAATCAGACTCAAAAAAATAAACGGGGATCAAATTAAATTAATATTAATGAAATACACACGTTCATAACAACATTCATAACATTGTCAGTTTTCAGTTTGGTGGTAGTTTTATTGGAGAGAGATAAATATATGTAAAGATCAATGTGAAAGAGAAAGAAAGTCATATATGTAATTTAAATGGACCACCCAACAAATTTTCCTATTCAGTTACACGTCCCTGTTGTCTCTGTTAATAAAAAGTAGAAGTTTCCCCCATACAGCGTCCAAATTTATATTGTGAAAATATTGCCATCTATATACGATAAATTTCGAATAAACTCTACTAGTTACAGATAACTGCAAAACGGATACGGGTGCCATCTACAATCTAATTTACGAAGCGTCAATAATATCATAAAAGATATCTATAATATACAAACTTTTCTGTTAGTTGTCCAGATGGAACTATTTATTTAACAATACGTTTTTTGATAATCTAACCAAAGTCAAGGCTTTAAAAACGTGTAATTTTTGATAACTGCATGTGTGTAAACAATTGCACAGGTGTCATAAATAATCGATTAAGTCGCGGTATTATTTTAAAATTAATATATTTGTGAAAATGTCGTCTCTCGTGAGTGATAATATTCCAATTCGCGATTTACCGGAAAACGATCGGACGAGGGAAGTAGCCGAAGCATTTACCGGTGTGTACAACCATAAACCTACATTTTACATTAGGGTACCGGGAAGGTAAGTAAAAGAAGCCCGTTTTAACTGATGTTGGCGCTAATAAAAGAATGCGATATGTTTTAATTAAACGGAACTGGTTTGTAAAGACAGTTATCTACACATTTTAAACTAAACGAGACAGGATATTTATAATTGATAGCTAGATTGAGTTAAAAATATTGTTAAAATATTCGCTGTAGGTTAGGTACGGTACGATAAAAAATAAATTATCTTTTCATATAAATAAATGAATGAGACACTTTACTGGCTTTAATTTGTTAGTTATGGTAAACATAATTTTTTATGTCACAACTAATTACGTACGTAGGTACATAGATACACGAAAATAATTGACACTATCTAGTTATTTACATTTAGGTAGGTACTGTATGTCATGTTTATTGTAATATAATCAGATAAGCTAGATAATAATTGTCTTATCTAACTTTTGCTTTATTCTAAATTATATACCGTCCTCTTAAAACCAGAAGGTTGTATGTAACAATTTTTTAAAAAATAACAATTTTATACCTATTGGCTAATATTAACTAGTAATGTTAACTGGATGTGAAATAAAATTCAAACACGATGTAAATTTAAAATCAGTAAAAGCCATATGTGCATTTGTAAACAACTATAAATAAGAAAAATGACTCATATGCCAAATAAATTCGTAGGTCTTTTAGTGCACTGAAAAACGGGCAAAAAGGTTTCAATTTTTTTTTTAAGGTACAACCACATGAGGTCTTTACAAAATAATAGTCTAGGTCCCTGGCCATCTGTAATCGGCAATTACAACATTTTTTAATAGGAACAACATTTTTTATTGCGAAATTTGTCAAAAATCTGTCAAAATTATGTTTTATTACTTTTTCACACATACCTCGCGATATCTCCGGAACTAAACAAGATATTTTCAACTCTTTTCTTTAATCGGCAGAAGAAACGTAAGCAGAGATTACTGCGTTCATTTTATTAGTAAAACTAGACAAAACTTTAATCTTTACTTTTTTGCAGCACTATTTTCAGTAATCGAGAAACTTTTTTATTTTTCAAAATTTCACTAAACTATCTGCGTAACAAATAAACCTAAAGTTTTAAAAAAGTTTTTAAAATAACAATCACTATTCTAAGTATCATAGTTTTTGAGCAATAAATACGCAAACTTGAAAGTTTCTGCAGCCGCGTTTAATTATTGGGCTTTCCAACGAGCAGACATCTCTCCGCGTCCCGCATACGCATAATGCCACCTGTCTATTCAGGGCTGCCGCGGAGATACTTGGAAATGAAGTGTCAATTCTCAATTCTCAAAACTGTCACGTATGTTGACAGTTGTTATGTCAAATTATGTCAAATTAAAACAAGAAAACCGACAATTCCGAAGCACAAGCGGATAATTAAAACGCACCTATTAAAAATATTGCGCCAAGATGTAGGCAACACGTAATAAGGCATCAAAATGGCGGAGTTTTCTTTCTTTTTTTAAAAAGCACTCCGAAAGCTGCGCGGTGCGACCTTTCTCCGTATAGTAAGAGAAAATCAAAGTATGTGGATGAATGGGAGTTTTTTTGTTTTTGTTGCTTCTGTACTTTAAAAAATTGGAATTGGAATATACCACTGGTATATATCAAAACGTTAATATGAATATAGAGTTTTGTTTTAAATTTTATTATTTTAATCAAGTTTAAAGGCAAGTTTTTATCAAGGTAGGTAAAAATAAATTGTACGATCACAAACCTGTAACTGACACCAGAATTCTGCGCAATAGATAATTTGAGCAGAATCCTGGAGTCGGTGACTGGTTTCTGATCGTTATAGGTACATACCTTATGTAAAAACCCTTTTCTTTAGGGGAAATATCGCCAATATTTACAATACTTACCCTAATATCGGAAAATGTAGGCTTTCGATACATAGATGGTGCCACAAAGACGATCAGTATTTCAAATTGTACTAAATTGTCCCTGATTTGAGTTAAAATGTACTGTTGTACTTTGCTGTGAGAAATGTACTAAATTTAGTACAATTGTACTGAAACGGCAGCCCTGTGTCTATTCCTGACAAATTTGGCGATAACTGTATTCAGTTGCTAACAAACAGTCTTTGTTTTAACTACGATTAGTAAGGTAGATATTATTTTGGATGTGTGTGTGTGTGTGTGTCTATTGAATTTTTTTTTGTAAACGATGGAGTGTTTATTTTGTGGTCAGACTTTGCAAGAAAATGACAAACTTGTGACGCAAAATTCGACATTGAAACGAATAAAAACAATTATATGTGCTGCAGAAAAAAGGAAAGACACTTGTGCTCAAAATATCTTGCATCAAAAGGAAGACATTCTAGGAGGAAGGTTAAAGTACAATTTCATAAAACTTGCCGACAAAAATTTATTAGTTCACAAAATATTGGATATGTTTCTTAAAGCAATGAAACCGAAAACGCTTCATCGTCTCGGACAAGATATCTTAAAGACTGATTTAATATTCAGCAAATGTGCATACAGGTAAGTTAATATATTCTTGTAAACATATAATAATTAGTAACTGTAAAAGCTAAGTTTCGTCCGTTTAAAAAACCTTGCTTCACATTTTTAATAGGAAATTATTTACTTAACTGAAAAATACTGATTTAGGTAAAAAAACTTTTTTCTTCGTAATATTTTTTTCTCATTAACAGTTATAACCGTTAGATATCAAGTAATATGCTGTTATCTGTTGTTTTTTTCTTATTTAGGAACCAGCAAAAATACGTACTCCAAGATAATCAAAGCTGCCCAAAAACGACAAGATATTGACATGGTTTCTAAATTAGCTGGTTATGAGGACCTTTTTACCTATGATGCTAAATATCACAAAAGCTGTTACTCTCAGTACATTGGTAAGCGAAACATCACAGCTTGTCAAAATAAATCTGATATTACCACAACTTTGCAACCATTAAGAGATGAAAGTGTATTATCAGACTCAACCAGCTCAGACTCCACTGCCTCTTACAACGAAGATTTCCAGGTTATTAAAGAGAACGAAATCCTTATTTTGCATAAAGCGGCGGGTATTTTAAAGAAAAAAATTAGAGAATTTGATATCCCACAAAGCAATTTTCCAAATCCGGATGATATGAATCAGGCATTGTTTAAAAAGCAAGTACCTAATGAGTTGCTGAAATTTGTATCATGGTTAATAGATGATGATTGCTACGAGAGTGTAAACGATAAAATTATATCACAAGCAGCTGTTCCTTGTAACATTATTATGAGCCTTTATGACAAAATGTTTAGAAGAAATAATTTTCAAATGGGACTAGGAATCTATGTTTATCATTTAGTACGTAGTCAGAAAATTTTAGATATTTTATCAAACATTGGTCTAAGTTGTAGCTATAATGATATAAGACAATTAACAACTTCCCTAGCGAACAAAGAAATCTCTAGCGACACGGTGTATGTGCCACCTGGTCTTGAAATGGTTGAGGAATCAAATAGATGGAAAAAATACCACACACTGTATGGCAATGGCAGTATTTCAAAAACATTCTGATACGCGTAGATTTATCGATGAAAATATTCCCAAAGGTGGAGCATATTCTTTAAAATTATGAGAAGAACTTGATTGTACCATTCAATACCTATCAAAATATTCAAAACCTGCAAAACGTCCCGATACTTTTACATTAAAATCAGCTACATTAAATCGATAAAATGACGAACGTTCGACAAAAATAAATGTAATGGAAACTTTTCCGAAGCTTTAAAGATTCAAAAATATTTCTAAACTGGTCTGACTTTAACAACACGTTAGCCGATAATAACATTTCCGTGTCAGATATATATTATTTGCCATTTATAAATAACCCACCAACAAGCTATGATACGTATCTATTATTGTTTTAGGTGTCTGTATCAATTAAACATTTGGTACAATAGCCACATTCCAAATATGCCACTAGAAGATCCGACTCTATACGGATGGACATTAGAAGAAAATATTTGGAAAGCCAATTTTTCTTCTCAAGAACCAGTGCCCGATAATGTAAGAACAATTTTGTCTATACGATGTTCAGACAAAAATTGCAACAATAATAAGTGTACCTGCATTTCACAAGGGTTAAAATGCTGCATTGACTGCAAATATACAAACTGCTGTAACAGCCTAACCAATGAAATTTTATCAGACTGCGAAGATGAAGACTTTTAAAATATGTTTTTTGTTATTTAGTTTAATTAGTTTCATAATTTTTTGTTTACTGTTTTTGCGATTTTTTTTAGAGACTACTGAGTTTTTTTGTTTTTGTTTGGTCAGATGTACCTATTAAGTAATGTCAAATTAATAATGGTCAATATAAATATCTTTAAGTTTCTATAAAAAGAGTTTATTCGTGCGATGAAGATAATTTAAATAATAAAATTTTATATTGTTAATCTAAACTAAAGCAATAACTAAACTATGACTTTTTTAAAATGTTTAGGAACTTTTATTAATTTACAGGTCACAGGTATAATTAAGTCGGCGCCCCTACAATAACGCTAACAGTATTTTTAGCTAGCTGCACGGCCGCGGCCGGCGCGTTGGCCCATGGATGTGCGGAACCTTTTAACCTAAAGTAACTATTAATTGAAAACTATGATACTTAGAATAGTGATTGTTGTTTTAAAAACTTTCTTGAAGCTTTAGCTTTATTTGGTATGAAGATAGTTTAGTGAAATTTTGAAAAATAAAAAAGTTTCTCGATTACTGAAAATAGTGCTGCAAAAAAGTAAAGATTAAAGTTTTGTCTAGTTTTACAAAAAAACTAGATTGTCTATACTAATGAAACGAACGCAGTAATCTTTGCTTACGTTTCTTCTGTCGAGTAAAAAAAAAGTTGAAAATATCTTGTTTAGTTCCGGAGATATCGCGAGGTATGTGTGAAAAAGTAATAAAACATAATTTTGACAGATTTTTGACAAATTTCGAAATAACAAATGTTGTCCCTATTAAAAAATGTTGTAATTGCCGATTTCAGATGGCCAGGGACCTAGACTATTATTTTGTAAAGACCACATGTGGTTGTACCTTAAAAAAAAAAATTGAAACCTTTTTGCCCGTTTTTCAGTGGACCATTTCTGATCTTATACTTTGATGAAATATAAACTATGTGACATAAGGTGGTATTTGCATTTTTTCACATGCATCTTTTTATTAATAAATTATAAGAAAAATGCCCTTTAACCATTTATTGACAGAGGGTCGTATGTACCCAAGCACATGCGATAAATTACCCTTAATCAATTTAGCAGAAAGTCATGTGTACATACATACAATTCTTTGTTGATAAAAAAAAGATGAATCACCTTCAATCGATTATTAACAAAAACCAAAAAAACAAAATACATTTTGTGCATTTCGAAGCTATTTTTTAGTGATAGTTTCGCTCTAAAAAACATTGAAAATCTCATCTTTGGATAAAGCTGGAAATGTCATCATTGATGAAAATTAAGAAGCTTCAAATTAATGAAACGTATCAGATGGCTATTTTTCTCAAAGAAGATCGTGCCTAACATACGGGTGAATTCCTATGCTTCACCTTTGACTCACTTACAGTAAAATAATAGTGTTATTATATCTTTTATTTTAGACAGTCTCTCTCTAGACCAGCCATACTCAACCTGCGGCCCTCCAAGCTGTTTTATGCGGCCCTCCAAGCTGTTTTGTGCGGCCCTCCAAGCTGTTTTGTGGGGCTCTCCAAGCTGTTTTGTGCGGTCCTCCAAGCTATTTTGTGCAGCACCGAACACTATTATTAGGAATGACTTACAGTCCTTTTTTGAAACAAATTGTCCCGAAGATTATTAAAACAACACAATGATCTTTTTTTTTTTTAATATGTCTATGTTTATGTGCTTTATTTACATTTTAAAAAGGTGGTTATCTGGTTATCACCCAAAAATATTGTGGCCCGTGTAGCATAGCAAACAGATTTATTTGGCCCGAAAGAACAAACGGTTAAGAACAGCTGTTCTAGACTAATTGCACTTCGTTTATCGGTTGGTCTCAACAGTCGCCTGGAAAACTTTTCTAGGACCTCTACAAAATACCTTTCTACAGCTTGCATCAGTTCATCATAACTGGAAAAAATTTTCTTACTTAAGCTTTTTTTGTTTAATTTGGCAAAGAGCTTGTAGTTACTGGGGGCGATATCTGGCAAATATCGTGGGTGCTTCACTAATTCGATGCTTGCTTAGTATGTAGCAGCCATGGCAATACAAGTTGTATGGCTGGAAGTATTATCCTGTTGGAACAGCACACCGTTACTTAACTTTCCTCGGCGTTTCTTTTTAAGAGCATCTCGCAATTTAGAAATAAATTGTGCGCAATAGACCTCTGTAATGTTTTGCCCCTTCTGCAAATAGTCAGTCAGAATTATTTTTTGAATATCCCACAACACAGACATCAAAAACTTTCCAGCAGACTCTGAATTTTTGTAGAGGAGGAGGAGAAAGTTCTAATTGTTTGCTTGGTACCTTTCCAAAAGTCACTCAGAAGTCAACACCCGATTTATTTCTTGATCAATGGTTTACTTTCAAAGAACTTATCTTTTTCATATCTATGTAATTCTATATTCAGTATATGATGCACCTCATTATATGATAAGCCAGTATCTTCTACAATGTCACTAATGTATTCTCGTCGGTCTTAAAGTACCTTTTTATTGTTTTTGTTTTTTGTTACCATTATGGGAGGACCACCGGCATGCTGGTTTTCACAGGATGTTCTTCCGCATTTAAAATTTCTCAGTACAACAACGTTTTAAGCTACAAAATTGATATTTTGTAGATATGATCTGCAAAAATCAGTTAACAAACTGTTAAAAACATTACCCAAGCCACCACTTAGAAATAGGCCAGGGGCCGAGCATAGGGATCACCCTCATATTTTTAGTAATATGCCAGTAAACACTCCAATAACATGGCTTCAAAGAAACAAAGGAACATTTATGAAACAAAATTAGAAAAGGATACAACACTTCTGGTGCGAGTATCCAAAAGAAACATTGGAACGGCTTTGAAACCAAATGTGAAAAAAAAACTATACCGTCAAAAGTTGAAAAATAGGAAATGCTTGTTAACCCAAAATTGAAGAAAACTATAGTGAATCCCCAGATTCAACTTTATTAATGCCACCAGCAGTATTATTGACAAAAAAAATTACACAAAAACCTATATAATTGATTTCTCAACTTTATTGAAATCTTATATACGATCTTCTGGTTTTAAGGGGTTGATATGTAGGTACTGCAATTTTATTCTTTTGCAATGCTTACTGTTTATCCGTAGACAAAGGATTGAAAAAAAAATATCACTGATATAGTGGATCTGGACAATAAATTGACAACTTTAGATTCATATGCCAAATAACCTTATAGGTTATATGAAAAATTCCTTAAAAATAAAAAAAAAAGTATTAGAAATTAAAAATTTAAAAAAACCGACTTCAAAAACGTGCAGATGCCATATGGGACCACCTGTGAGGTACCCCCTTACTAACAAAAAAAAAGAATCATATAAATCAAACAAGGTGGTAAAGCATTATCGCTAAATATACATAAAAAATTAAGAGTGAGGATTTTCTCATGGACCCAATTATTAGAATTTAACTAAATTGATATGGGACCACCTCTGAAGTACCCCCTTTCTAACAAAAAATGAATCATTGAAATCGGACACCGTGTTAAAGAATAATCGCTGAACATACATAAAAAAAAAATATCGCAACGAATTGATAACCTCCTCCTTTTTTGAAGTCGGTTAAAATGTTGAAGATCTTAATAGGAAATAGGATTGTAGATATCTAAGTAGAGTAGGGTACCTTTTTTTTATTAATTAACCAACATTAAGTTTTGTAGCTTCCTATGTCAGGGTCTATGCCTAAATTAATTAATCAAAAAATTACTATGTGTAAAAAAAGACGAGAGAAGAAAGATAGAAAAAGCTTTGTGAAGAAGCAGTCTAAAAGTCACTTTATCTCCGCTGTGTTTAATTTTTCTTGGCGATAAGTAAAGTATTAAATTTTCAATATTCTTCAAACACAAATTGTTACCTAAACACTGCACTAGGACAAATTTACACAAATTAATGAATATCTGCTCACTGCAAAAACAATATTAAACTACGAGGCGATAAAGGTTAAAATTCGTTGCAGATGTTTAAACATCAAATAAACTAGTTCAAATTACGAGGCAATAAAGGGCAATTCCGCTGCCTGAGTTAATACGTAAACTATTTCTTTTTTAGAAAGAAAACCTACGAAATAGCTGAAAACTCTTGTTCAACAATAAAATCCACCCCTAACGACCAATATATACCTACATTAGTGAAATATACATTAACCAACCACTAAAGCCCGCAACGCTCTAATGCAGCGTTTAGCAAGAGGAGTATTTACTTGGCTGTAGAGCGGAGCATGCAAGGGTTTCGTAGTACCCCACTTTTAAAGTTTATTTTTGACTTATTCTGAAAGAAAAAAATATGTACGTGTAGGTAAAGGATAAATCTATGCTCCTCTGGAAACACTTTTTTAAAATTTGAAACCGTTTTTTCTAAAAAAAAATACAAATCTCGACTTTTTTTACCCATTTTCTCAATTTTTTTTAGAAAAAACCAAATTGAATTTTGAAAAAGTGGTTCCAGAGGAGCATAGATTTAACCTTTACCTACACATATATATTTTTTTATTTTAAAAATAGTCAAAAATAAACTTTAAAAGTGGGGTACTACGAAACCCTTACACTGCAAGATTTTTCGTCTGGAAAGTGGCGCCTCTGTTAGATTTTTAAGAAATTAATATTTGTGAATGAAAACAATTTATAATATATTTTACTGATATTTTACGAGGGATAAATAAATTTTACGTATTTGTACACCTTATGTTTTACGTAATTTATTTCTGTAATACTAAGATTAGCATATATATATATTATATGCAAGGGTTTCATAGTACACCAATTTTACGGATTATTTTTTAATTTTACTAAAAGAAATTTTATGTAAGTACAGGTAAAGGCTTAATCCATACCTCTCCGGATTTACTTTAAAAATATGTCTCTTTTGAAAAAATCTAAGAAAAGAAACGAAAAGAAATAGAAATGTTAAAAAATGCTAGAAGAGAAAAATATATTTAATTTTTGCCTACAGGAGCATTTATTTTTATTACAATAAAAATAATAATAAAAATAATAATAATAAAAATACGTTAAAAGCTTTTTCGTCTAGAAGGTGATACCAACAAAATATATATCTTTTTCTACTCTTTAGTGATAAACAATACGTAAGTGATTTGAATTCATGTTGTTATTTTTTACACACAGTAATTTCGCTCAATTATATTAAATTAATTTTATCATTTATTTATTAAAAAA